ATATTAATATGTACAACTAAAATTACTAATAAAGATATAAGCAAGGCCTCACCTTAATACCAAAAAAAAAAAAAATAAATTGAGAGGATTTTGAGATAATTAATTTTGTTTGTTTAGATTATCTGTTATTTAAGATAAACCAGCAACCTAAAAATTTAAAGAATTGTTTAAAAGAATGAAGTGAAAGTAGATAATTATTATAAGAGATAGGAGTGTAGTAGAATAGAGGGTTATTAGTAACCAGAATGAATTTTGAAAAGTTAACTTGGATGTTTGTCATAGTATAAAATGATTTAGCTATAGATAATATATGAGATAACTCAGTTTGTGAGAAAGCAACCTAGAGAATATCATTCATATATACTAGAACAAAGCATTGTTTTTGTAATAAATTAGTTGTTTGAAGTTTGAGGTTAGTGGTTTAAGTAGATTGTAAAGTATATCCAGAAACTTTTAAGTATATATATAAAATAAGTGGATTATAGTAAATATGCCATAATAAAGGTGTAATTATTTCACCTTGGTCAATACTATTGTGAACTGGATAAGAAGAAGTAAGACCAAGATTGGTAATAACTTGGTTGTGATGATTAGTAAGAAGATTAGTAAGAATGTTAATGATGGATGAAGAAAGTAAAAGACAAGAGAATGAATGTTTAAAAAGAGCAAAGTTTACAGAATCATATGCTTTGCTCATATCTTGTGAAAGTAACCAAATGTCTTTGTGATTGCAAGTAGCATCTTCAATAAGATTATTAAGAATAGAAATAGAAATTGAAGTACTATTATTGGGAAATATGACCTAGTTTATTAATGCTGTGTACTCAAAAAATCAAAATATTTTAATAATACCTTATCCTTAAAGCTTTTATTTATCATGACATCTAGAGGCTGTAGTTTACTAGTTAATCCTCTGGGAATTACTGTAAGGTGAGTGTTATTTTCTTTAAATTGATGTTTAATGGAATCTATTAAATAACCTCTAAAAAAGTCCAAAACAAAAAAGGACTGTGGTTTTACTTCTTTACTACATTTGCTCCAAACATTATTAATCCAATAATGCATCTCATTCTTATTACACCATCCTTTTTCATTTACTTTAATAATAACACCTTGAGAAAACACATCACGAGAGATAAGTTTCAACTTAAAAATGCATATAGGCAGAAGCTTTATTCCATTAGCAAGACATTCGAGAATAATGATAAAATTTGTTCTTTCATGCCTAGTGGTTCTGATACCCACAGTTTTTGACCCATGCTTTTTAAGAGTAACTGGGCTAGATACATCGAATGATAAGGACATTTCATCTATATTGCTCATACAACTAACAGGAAAGCTATATTTCTGACATTTAAACAAAACATCTCTTAAAAATTCACTTTTTTTTTCTCAAGATCAGCTGAAAGGTGCTGTGAAACTGTCATATGCCTATGGTTTGAAAAACTATAGCAGGACAAGAACTGATTTAACCAGTTTTTAGAAAATTTAAAGGCACTGATGTCAAGATAAATATCCTTAAATTTATTAGTTTGTGCTAAGGCCTTAGCCTTTTTCTCAACCATATTTCTGGTAACAGCATTCTGCTCTTTATAGCATTCATTAATCCATTCAACAAGCCTTTTTTCTAATAATGGAAATTGGGTCTGATGACTATGATTAAGTGTTAAAATATAGGACGTGATACTCAGATGCTCTTGCTTTTTGTTCAGCCATTTGCAAACCTGCTTTGTTCAATTTCAAATCTTCTTGCAGTGGCTCTCATATTTTTAATATACTCATAGTAATTAATAACTATAAGCTTCTCTTTGGCACTCCATGAATAATGGCTTTTATTGTAATGTGGGCAGTTCTTCTGATGTTGCTTCTTTATGGAGATATTTTTGGTGCTAAAAAAGTTTGTATATGCATCAAAAGATGTTTTTTTTTTATCTATAAAATTGGTTCAGAAACCACAATACACAACAAATTATGTGCATTACTATTAATTCATAAGGCTATAGGAGGCCACACAAGGCCATATAAGGCCACATGAGGCTATAATCCAAGTTAAAAAATAGAAATGCCAGAAGGCAAGAATCAATTGATAAGATGGGCAAGCAAATAATGTTTGTTATATACAATTGGATTTTTACAATAAAATTTAAAGATCTTTATTTATGACATCGAATCTATAACTCAATAAGATCACTAGATTAGATGTAACATGAAAATCATGCTTTTTTTAAAAACAGGCGATAACTAAAAATTTTGACTTGAAACCACTTTCTGTGTTTTAATAAAAAAATTTCTCGTGGAATTTTAGTATAAAGTATGCTTACTATAATCTTTATACCAACCTTAACATGAGGTTTTAGTATTTTAAAATATTATGCATATTAAAGTTAGTTTGATTATTCGAAAAGATCTAATTGGTGCATATACAATGGTCTTACTGGGGAAGCTCATATTTATGCATATGGTCATGTTTGGCCAATCAGTAATAGAAATTACTTGCAGCCAATAAAAGTTTAATCTGACATATATACCCCTCTCTAATATGATATATCTCTCCTACACGTTTACCTTGAGTACTAAAATGAGCTAAAGAAATATCTCAGGTATGCATGTTGGAAAATTACAGTATATGATATGGGTCTGTGAATTGCCTATTTTTAAAACCTGGTCTAGTCTACATTTAGAGTTAAAATTTTTTTCAGGCCTGACCCAGCCCACTCCACTTGCATTTAAAGTTAACATTTTTTTGCTAATCTAATCTGGCCTGCATATATTAAATTTTTTCTTCAGTTTGGCTTGGCAGCAAAAATTTCTTATATAATTTTACAAAATATTAGGCTTGCACTAGTTTGCAATTATAATGTTTTGCAAATTTTTTGGCCTGGCCTAACTTGCAATTATAAAATTTTGCTTCAGAGCTAGACTAGGCCAGGTCATAGAACCTAATACAAGCCTCTAATATATGAGTTACATTATAGGTATTGTTAACAGAGAAAGTAATGCTAGAGACAGTTTTATTGTAATTATATTTGTCAATATGTTGTATAAGAGATTGAATGGTTTGGCTATAAAGAAGAAGTAGTAAGTTGTAATAAAAAAGAAATTTGTTAAAATATATATAAAGATCATAAGTGCTTAAAGATGTTAAAAATAATCTTCTAAGGTTGTCTTTTATACAATTAATTAATATATGCTTAGCTCTTACAGCTGGACAAAATAACAAAGTCTGCTCTATACATTAGGTCTAACTGTTATTATCTTAGTTTTTTATATATAGAGGCTTAACTTTCTGCCTCTATATATTATTCTCTTTACTAACTACATTCAGTTGTATCTTTTAGTAAGACAGTAGCTGCATTTATAGATTTGTAAAAGATGATCAGTTTGTGTATATTTTTGTTTATTGTTTATATAGTAATAACATTAGGTAAACTATGCAATTCCTATTTTGCATATTTATACTAACTCTATATAGTTTTATCTTGTGTTTATGCTATCTATTTTACAATGTTCAGAGGTCATCTATGTATATTAGCTTGTATTATTCTATATTTCTAATTGAAAACTCCCTGCAGTTATGAACTTTTGGTATGAACACCATACTTGAAACTTTTTAAATGATCTTTCTAATTAGTGTTTTTGTAGATTTTCTAATACAAATTTATAGTAATCTAATATGAATTTATACTGTAATTACACTGACTATTTTATAATGTTTAGAAGTACATTTATATATATCAGCTTGTATTTCTCTATATTTTTAATCAGAATCTCTCTGCAATTATAGCTTTTGGATATAAACACTATAACACAGATCATTGCAGATCTGTTATTAACTTTATTTAGTTTTATATTACAATTATAGCCAATAAGCCAACATTTCTAATTAAGTCAACATACCAATTAAGGTATATAAAATTTTAATATTCAATATTTGTTACTAGTAGAAATTAAACCTTAGAACTTGTTACTTGAGATGCAACAACTTAACTACTTTACTAAGTCATTACATTCTCTTTGTTAAAAATTTATAATAAATAGTTTATTTATATTATATATTAAAATTGATCAATTAAAATTTTATTTCTTAATTTTTTTTTAGATTTTATTATTTTTAATTTTTTAATTATTGTTATCATAATATTTTATAAGTGGTGTGGTAACCTAGTAAAGTAGTCAAGTTGTTAAGCTCCCAATGGTAGGTTGGATGTTCAAATTTCATCGACAGTAAAAATTTAAATAATCACCTATATAATATTCATATTATAGCAACTGTTACTAATGATTAGGTTAGGATACCTGTAATGGCAGTTATACCAGCATGACTTGCAGGTCATGGGGCATCTGTGTAAGTATGACATTATATAGAGGAATGCAAACTGACAAATCAGATAGTGCAAACACTAAATAAGTCCTTGTAGCTGTGTAAATCCATTGAAATTGAGTAACAAGAAGTCCATTTGAGAAGACTTAGTAGAGAGGTAGCTGGATCTTTGACAGCTCTACTGTAAAGGCTAGCCTAGAGAAATAGATACCAAAGTTATAGTACCCAGTCATAGTAGCTGGATAGGCAAGAACCTTCAAGTTGGGAGTCTTGAGAGTACTACCAACCAGGCCATTGGAACAAATTAGAGGAAAAGAATATCAGGCTGACTTGATATACTAATGAACTGGTCATAGTCCTACATAGACTATCTGAATTGGAAGTTTGGTAAAAAGGCTAGTGAAAAGGTAGAGGTATACTAAAGTATCAAAGTTATGCTGTAAAGTAGATGCTGGAATCTAAGTGAAATTTACATGGGCATAGTGGTTCAATAGTTAGCCCTGATCACAAGTGTTGGTTCTGTTATAGCAATACCTAGATCAGCTGTAAAAATGAGTACAGAAGGCTTTGGAGAGTTTATCTTAAGGATAAATTAGTCCTAAGGTTGAGATGATAATCTGGGCAACTGGGTATAATCTAGTAAGTTAATACAGATTACAGATTCAAAGGGTTTAAAGTGAAACATCCAAGCAAAGGTGTTAGGTATAACAATTGGTGAGGAACCTTTGGGCAAACTCCTTAAATAGGTAATATAAAAAAGTTACACATGTAGCTAATTGTACTCTCTCCTGTAATAGTTCATTGAACTACAATACTGATAAGTGATTAATAAAAGTCAAAAGACCAAAGAGGTCACCTTAATATTAAAAATAATAATAATAATAATATTTTATATATGTATTAATAATTTAATTTACTAATTTATAATAATAAAAATATTAATTAATCTAATTAAATGTCTTGTTTTTATAGCCAATAATAGTAATTTGTTATATGTTATAAATGAATTTATTTAAATTTAATTATTTAAAATATTTTATATAATATAAAAATAATACTAATAATAGCAGAAAATATTAATATTATATATATATTTATTACAAATAATTTGTAATTATTTACAAATAAAAGAAATTTAATTTAAATTAGACATTTTTCCTGGTATAGTAAATTTTAAGTTTATAATTATAAAAACTAAACCAAAAAATAAATTTTATTCAAAAAATTATATAAAACTATACAAAAATAATTTCTTGTTTCTTATATAGTAACTTTAAAATTATAAAATAGTTATAGCTACATGTTTTTTTAAAACAAATTTTATAAAGAATGTGGTAACTTAGTAAAATAATTAAGTTGTCAATTTTTAAAGTAGAAAGTTGTAAGTTTAAAAATTATCAAATATAAAAATTTAAACAATTACTTATATAATATATAGATCTTATAATGGCAATATCATTCTGTTAACATTTATTTCTACTATTACTTCTAACCTATTTACTACAAATTCTATCATACTAAAAAGAAGAATCTAAGTCTTAAGAAAAACTAACAAAACTTAGATCATAGGCAAAATACAAAAAATTATTCATACAAGCAATATAATATATATTAAACACTATCACTTACTACCACCAGAGCTTCAATATATAGCCCTATATCAAAATATATGAACTGCAAAAACACTATTATTACTACTAACTAGCAATGCATAATAATGCTTAAAACATCTCAGTGCATAGCCA